TTTCATCAGAACCCTCTTTTGTAGAAGCACAATTGGAAAACTAAGCAATAAAGTAAACCACAAGTGTAATGACATCAGAGAAGTGCTCAGCAAAAGTCATTATCTCCAGAAACTCAAATGCTGTGAAGCGCTAACCATCTCCAATCACACTGACTTTGAACCTCCCAGGATGAATCCGGCAATTTTTAGATCTTGATTCACGGGTTACAAAGGCGACGCTGGATTTGTGATTTGAAACCACCCTTTCATTACACTGTGATTACATCTCAATTTGTACCCAGTTGGCTTAGAGGAGACATGGAAATTAGGGTAATAAGCAAGAGGCTCCTGCCCGCAGCGGCAGAGCAGGGGGATGACTTACTTGTTGAAGATTTTGGCTCTCTTAGCACTTGAAAAATTCTCCAGCTGCAGGGACTCTTGAGTGAGGAAAGCCACAGCTAGGTGAAAATAGTTGTTCCACAGCTGAAAATCAAAAGACAGGAGATGCTAAGTTGTAGAATAGCTTAACAATGGATATCAGAAAGCTCTGGGCAATTATCATCCTGGTAATCCTTAAAAAATATAGCGGTGCAAGCCAGCCCTCCGGGTGTGATTCATGGCTGAGTATGAGGTTGATTTACCAGAGCAACTCCTCTAACCTCTGTCTGTGCCTCAGTTTCTTCGCCAATAACACGAGGTTGTTAGTAGCATTTACCTGGGTAGGCTTCCTGGAAGGCACAGGAATGGTGGCTACAGATGTGATGTGCTGAGCACGAGTTGAGTACTGTGTGGTTTTAGCTCTGTTAACACGTGATGGAGCCCCTCTCTGAAGAACAGTATACACTTGCACGATTTACGACTTTTTATTATACCAAAATTATGCATACACCAGATAATTAGGGAAAACATGTAAAAAGATGAAGCCTCCATTTCAAGGATTTATGGACTGTATGTGATTTGCAGGATGATCTCTGAAAGACATTTTTGATGCCAGTTTTTCTCATTTACAAACCAGGGATAATATTCAAATGTGATAGCTACAAAGAGTCACATAAAGATAAGACATTCTCATTACCAACTCTGAGTTTAATGACCTGTGAAAGGTAGGGATTCTAGAGAATCCCCAGGAATTAAGACTGTGTGTGGTCCCTTCATCTGGTTCTTCCTAGGAAATGGCATTGCCCACAGTGCTGCTGACCACCACAGAACTACCCAGAATACACTGGTCCCCCGATGCTCACAGCTCCAGTGGGATTGAAGCTGAGCAGATGTCCTTAACTTCCGAGTGCTCCGAGTTTAATGAAAACTAGATGAAGAAGACCCGAAGAGGATGGGAGAAAGACAGACTGCAAAAAAATTTCCCTCAAATGCTGTAACTTTTCTAAGTTCCCAAGTCCAGTAATTCCACTTAACATCCAGTGACACACAGGCTAGTCTAGTCCACTCAAACCTACTACCTAGAGGAAGACAGACACTATTTGTGTCAAGAAGGAAACCATGGATGGTACTGCTTCAGCAGGATGGACAATCCCAGCAGCATTGATGGCTTTCATCAGAACCCTCTTTTGTAGAAGCACAATTGGAAAACTAAGCAATAAAGTAAACCACAAGTGTAATGACATCAGAGAAGTGCTCAGCAAAAGTCATTATCTCCAGAAACTCAAATGCTGTGAAGCGCTAACCATCTCCAATCACACTGACTTTGAACCTCCCAGGATGAATCCGGCAATTTTTAGATCTTGATTCACGGGTTACAAAGGCGACGCTGGATTTGTGATTTGAAACCACCCTTTCATTACACTGTGATTACATCTCAATTTGTACCCAGTTGGCTTAGAGGAGACATGGAAATTAGGGTAATAAGCAAGAGGCTCCTGCCCGCAGCGGCAGAGCAGGGGGATGACTTACTTGTTGAAGATTTTGGCTCTCTTAGCACTTGAAAAATTCTCCAGCTGCAGGGACTCTTGAGTGAGGAAAGCCACAGCTAGGTGAAAATAGTTGTTCCACAGCTGAAAATCAAAAGACAGGAGATGCTAAGTTGTAGAATAGCTTAACAATGGATATCAGAAAGCTCTGGGCAATTATCATCCTGGTAATCCTTAAAAAATATAGCGGTGCAAGCCAGCCCTCCGGGTGTGATTCATGGCTGAGTATGAGGTTGATTTACCAGAGCAACTCCTCTAACCTCTGTCTGTGCCTCAGTTTCTTCGCCAATAACACGAGGTTGTTAGTAGCATTTACCTGGGTAGGCTTCCTGGAAGGCACAGGAATGGTGGCTACAGATGTGATGTGCTGAGCACGAGTTGAGTACTGTGTGGTTTTAGCTCTGTTAACACGTGATGGAGCCCCTCTCTGAAGAACAGTATACACTTGCACGATTTACGACTTTTTATTATACCAAAATTATGCATACACCAGATAATTAGGGAAAACATGTAAAAAGATGAAGCCTCCATTTCAAGGATTTATGGACTGTATGTGATTTGCAGGATGATCTCTGAAAGACATTTTTGATGCCAGTTTTTCTCATTTACAAACCAGGGATAATATTCAAATGTGATAGCTACAAAGAGTCACATAAAGATAAGACATTCTCATTACCAACTCTGAGTTTAATGACCTGTGAAAGGTAGGGATTCTAGAGAATCCCCAGGAATTAAGACTGTGTGTGGTCCCTTCATCTGGTTCTTCCTAGGAAATGGCATTGCCCACAGTGCTGCTGACCACCACAGAACTACCCAGAATACACTGGTCCCCCGATGCTCACAGCTCCAGTGGGATTGAAGCTGAGCAGATGTCCTTAACTTCAGAGTGCTCCGAGTTTAATGAAAACTAGATGAAGAAGACCCGAAGAGGATGGGAGAAAGACAGACTGCAAAAAAATTTCCCTCAAATGCTGTAACTTTTCTAAGTTCCCAAGTCCAGTAATTCCACTTAACATCCTAGCAACTTGATTTTCAAAAGTGCCCAACTAGCTGATTTTAAACTACATGTGCAAGAAGAAACACACAAAAAGGGCCATGGCAACTTTATCCTAGCAACTTGATTTTCAAAAGTGCCCAACTAGCTGATTTTAAACTACACGTGCAAGAAGAAACACACAAAAAGGGCCATGGCAACCTCCTCTCTCCCCAAACAATCTCTATATTAATTTAATGGTACAAAACAATTTAAAGAAAGAGTAACATGAAAAGCTTTTGAAACACAGCATTATTATTATTATTATTATTATTATTATTATTATTTTAGTTTTTTGAGACAGAGTTTCTTTGTATAGCCTTAGCACTGTCCTGAAACTAGCTCTGTGGACCAGGCCTGCCTCCTGTCTCTGCCTCCAGAGTGCTGGCATGTACCACCATTGCCTGGAAATTTTTTGGGGGTAGGGCAATAGAACACAGTACTGGGAGGGCCGAGTGTTCGTGGCGCACACCTTCAATCCCAGCACTTGGGAGGCAGAGGCAGGCAGATCTCTGTGAGTTCGAGGCCAGCCTGGTCTCCAGAGTGAGTGCCAGGATAGGCTCCAAAGCTACACATTGAAACCCTGTTTCGAAAAACCAACAAACAAACAAACAAACAAAAATAAAACTGGGAGGTGCAGATTCCACTGTCTGTCTACAGAGCTGAAGCCATTGTGGTAACAATGCAGAAAACAGACTTCATATGATTTGCAATTTGGCCAAAGGCAGCATGTTAAACCACGGGAGACAGAGGAACCCAATCATGAACTAAAAGGGAGGAAGAGTAAAGCTGGACCCTGATCCTAACACTAGCTACAGAATCTTATGTAGATTAAATAACTGAAAAGACAAAAAGGTAATTGCTGATATTAACTTCATTATAAATAACTCAATCTACAACACTAAGGCAATTAAGGATTTAACTACACTACACCCAAGACCACATAATCACAAGAGAAATGTCAGGTTTGACTACAGGAAAGTTAAACATTTTAATATAATAAACTTAAACCCATGAATAGGCTATACCAAGAGTCCCAACTTATTAAAAACACAAACATCCAACACAAGCAAAAGAAATGGCCAGAGAGGTCACAGCAAAAAGCCCCACAGCTGAAAAATATGCTCAGTGTAACTGGTCATAAAAATGTAGCAACCAGAAAAATTCAGGTAAACAAGAATCCAAAATTCTAAGGAAAGGCTGTAAGGGGTTGCTTCCCTCAAAAGAGGCTAGTGAGGCTGTCCCAGTTAGCTCAGTGGGACATAAGACAAAACACAAAAGACAGAAATGTGAGAATGACACATGTAATGTGGAAGGGAGGTTGACAGTGGTGGGAGGGAGCTAGGAGAAACTAAGATTGGTGAGTGAGAGTAATGAGAATGTGTTACATACATGGATGGAATTCTCAAAGAAGAAAATTAATAAAAATTTTATAAATGCGCGCGTGCGTGCGCGCTGAGAATGTGTTACATACATGGATGGAATTCTCAAAGAAGAAAATTAATAAAAATTTTATAAATGCGCGCGCCATGGCTGGTGAGGGTGCTACTGATAAAACATTACACACACACACACACACACACACACACACACACACACACACATCACATGGCTGGTGAGGGTGCTACTGATAAAACATATTTAGGAGGGCATTTCAACACTGTCCATCAAGCTTAAAACATTCATCTTGTTTTGCCAGCAATCAGCCTTTTCTAGGCGTGCATGCATTGAGATCCATGGACGCTTGGCTCAGGACAGTGGGAAGCAGAAGCCATTTTGCAAGGGCAGCTGAGTAAGTGCAGGCACGTTCATGCCATGGAGTAGGACACGACTGTAAAACACTCAGCATGAACCAGCCCATGTTAATGGCAAGATGAAATCAAGCATCGGCCCACATAAATGCATCTGGTGTCAGGAAGAGTGCGCAGAACGGTTAGGTACAAGTTACTCCTGCAGAGAGGGGATGAGGGTTACAAAGAGGAGAGGAAATATTTCCTAACAACTCATTTACCGCATGTGAATCTTTGTTTATGACATATGAAAACAAGCTTCAAGCAGAGAAAAACAATAAAAGGTAAAAGAGAAAAAAATTAAAAGTAATGTTGCTAGGCTGGGCATGTGGCTTAGTTGGTACAGGGCCTAGTTAGCATGCACAAGGGTTCCCGCCCCAGTACCCCTCCACACATACTTAGGCGGGGCATATGCAGAAGAGGTATTTGAAACAGGAGAACTCACTATGGACACTACAGGTGGCACAAAGCCAGAGAGTATGAGGGGGAGAGAGTTTCAGAAGCAATTAGCTCAGTGAAGCACACCCGATTCTCCTCCACTGAACCCTTCATTCTGTCTTAGGACAATTTGAGATGAGGCTGGCAGCCAGGCATAGTGGCATTCGGTGGCCTGCCTGCCTCCTGCCAGGACAGCCTCTCCTTGCCACTCTGATTCAGTACTTTCTCTTAGAAACAACTCTATTTCCTAACTTGCTAAATGGAGCAAATACAATGGGAGCATAATTTTCACTCCTTGGGTTCCATTTCCACACCTCCCGTGAGAGGCCGATTAGGATCCAGGGATTAGAGCTATAAATGACTGGGACTGGCCAGCCCTTTGTTTTAACATGATTCTCCCATGAAGGTGCTGTCTGCATCCTTTTACCTGCAGCTCAAAGTTGGCTTGATCCAGAAATTTCTTGTTCAGCATATCTGCATACTGATTAATTGCACGCAGGAAGACTCTGAAAGATCAAGAGAAAATGGCATAATTACACAGTTAGGCTTTGGCACCTTTGTAGGTTTGGCATTTCAATTAGATAGGATTCCAGACTGTTGAGAATGTGAAGTCTCTAAGTCCTATGTGAAGTTGGGAGGCTTTGCCAGTGAAAAACTCTCGGAATTATATACAGATGTTCTCCAAATTAATCAAGGAAATTAGCACATGGAGAATGAAAGAAACAGACCAAAATAACAGCTTCTGAAAGGAACATTTAACACGTATCACGAAAATACCCAACTTTTCAAAAAAAGGAAGAAAAGGTGCAAATAAAATACTTTCCTGAGTTACAATGTCTTACTGCTTCATAATCAAATCCTTTAGTTCCATGGCCTTGGGTTTAAAAGCATTCTTCATGTGCAAGTTACTAGGCTTAGTGTGATTTGCAACAATGTTACTGTATTTGAAGGGACAAGCCATTATCAGTACTATCTGCCCTTTATCTAATTTCAATCATTGTTCTCTTAATAAAAGAAAATTAAAAAGGCTTTCGTAGATAAGAAAGTGACCTCACAAGAATTTTATAGGCATGTGATCCTTTGATTCTTGGTGTGTGTGGTGTGGGCACAGGGAGGCAGAGTGAAGGCATTGGATATCCCCATCTTTCATTCTCTACCTTAGTCCCTTCAGACAGGGAAGAAGTCTTTGAACCTGGAGCTAGGATGGTGGCTGGCAAGCCCCGGGGATCCTCTCTTAGCCTCCACCTACCTAGTGCCAGAGTAACCAGTGTACACGGCCATACCAAAATACATGGCATTTTACATAGATGAGGAAGATTTGAACCCAGGGGTAAATACTTGTACAGCAAGGGTTGGACCCCACTGAGCCATCTCCCCAGTCCCAACATTGTCCAGTTTCCAGCACCTTGACTTCTACTTTTCTATGATAAAGTGTGCAATTTGGGCTGTCAGTGAGGACTCTGGAGTACTGTCTTTCCCCAGCTTGTTCACTCGGTAGACTTGTTTTATAACCCCGGAGAGCGCTGACAACAGAAAAGCTTAGTCCGGCTACTTCTTTGTAAATGGCATTCTCCCTTTGTACAAAGCAAGGATGCAAGAGGAATTAGCATTAGGTCACAGATAATAAACTTAATTACTTCTCCTCATTTAGACAGCAGGAAGCAACTAAAATGTGAGGGAAATCTGGGTTACTTGAAATCCCCATTCTCTGACAGCAGTATCTCTTTAACTAAGCATGCTTGCAGCTCCCTAGGTCCTGCCACCACAGAGGTCACTAAAGGCTAGTGGTCTTAGGAGTAAAGGGGAGGAAGGAAAGGACCCTCCACCCAGGGCTTCAAGAAGCCTCTGACAGTGCCCTTTTTTTTATAGCACTTCCTGTCACTCTTCTGCACTTTCTCACTCTTTGTGAGTCAGGAGCTGTAGACATAATTCCATCAGAAAGCCAAACAGCAGGACGGCACACAGGCCTGCTGCATGGCCCATGGTGGAGCTTGCTATCTCACTCACTAAAGAAACAGACAGTTATCTGTATTCTTCCCTGGAGACATGAAGACATAACCAGATTGGAAGAATGGGTGTTTTTAAGTGTCTTGTAATGGAGGACCGTGGGGATCATTGCCTTGTCCATTAACCAAGAGCCCAGACTAGGCAGCAGCATCCATTGGCCAGAATATTGCAAATCTAGGATGCCAAGTTATGTTTGAGATATAGCTCTTGGTGATGAACTCTGTAACTGACTTAGTTATTACATTAAAGCTGAATGCATGGTGTTTGGACATCCTGACAGATTGTTACATGGAGCACATAACTGAGTCCATGCCTTGTGTATGTAAGAAGCGTGCTGTTGCTGGGTAGCCTTTAGTCTTGGGCTGGTACATGTCATGCTAGGCTCAGCCCTCAGGAGTACAACACAGGTTAAAAGACAGTTTCCTTATATACCTGAGTCTTGGCCTTTGTGTCCAGATATGGGCCACATACTGCAGTAACAGAAACCACAGACCCTGCCTAAAAGGGACACAATTTCCTGTTCTCACAGGAAAGGGCTTACATCAAGTCTAAGAACTCCAAGATTAGATAGCTACAGTAACTTTTCTAATTTTTTTCTCCTTCAGCTTTTGTGGACATTCCCCAGAGTACTGTACAACTTAAGAGCTGTAAGTTGATGTACCCAGCCCTTGATGACAATAACGATGGGTTTAGCACAACATGGATTATTATTACAGGGTAATTATTTTGCCTCTAGATAACAGCCAAACAGTTGCAATATGCTACTTCTAATTAAGCTCTGGAACAGTTTCAGCTAGTTAAATAAAGATATTTCTCAAAATGCCCCCCTCTTTAAAGAAAAAGAAACAATGTCAGGCTGAAACAATATGAAGGCTGAACAAAAAACTTTTTTTTAATGAACTGTCAGCTGAGAAAGAGCAGTGCTGAAAGATAGATTCTATAATTTAGATTCCCCATAAATTTTTTAAAAAGCTAGGACAAAACTCCAAAATAACACAGAATACAAGTTGCATGAAGAAAACTAGGTAAATGATCAAATAAACACTACAATCAATGCTGTAAACAAGATAAAATGGAGCATGGGCTCAGTGCATCAGGGTAGTGCGACTTGCACAGACCCATCGGGGACATGTATAAATAATACCCAACAGTTCACAGAGATGGCATGAAAAAGCTGCTATGCTCCTAGTCTTCCAGAAACAAACCAATTAGCTAACTAGACAAAAGGAAACATAAGCAGTGGCTATTTTGGGTAGGATGACCTATTAGGCATCGTAATCCTATGTTGTTTCTAATAAATCTCAAACTAGGGAGCATAAATGCAGAAAATAATATCAGGAGCTTTTGCACAAAACTTGCTTTGGGTCATAGAGGGGTGTGAAGAGGATCCCAAATCATTCAAGTAGAGAGATTCATGATGTCTTATTAGACTATATAGAATAAGGCTTTCCTCCAAGTGTGCCCAACACAGCAAGATCTCAGTTGGTTTTGAGCGGAAGTGACCTTATGGAAGGGGGATGGAGGGTAAACAGAGAGGGATGCCTTTACACACTGGTGATTCTGTCTCTGCTCTACACTGCTGGAGTGGACTTAGAAGAAACAGAAAGGAAACACTCCCCTCTCTGACAATGGGTAAATGGTAGGTACTCAAATACACTGGGTTTGTCTGCTTATAGGGGTTGGTTGGATGGGAGGGTAGATGAATGGAAAGGTGGATGGACGAATGAGTAGGTAGGGCCAATGGGTAAATGGATGAATGGGTAGGTGGATGTAATGTGAGTGGGTGAATGGTAAATGAGTGTGTGATGGACAGACACAAGAGTGTATGGATGAATGCATGAGTGGATGAGCAGTGGGGTGGATGGATAAATGGACAGGTAGGTGGTCAGATGAAGAGATGAGTGGATGATGAGTGGGGTAAGTTGTGAGTGGATGGGTGGGTAGATGAATAAATGGGTAGACAGGTGGGTTGATGGCAAACAAATGGCTAAGGTGGCCTAGAAGACCAAACTGACTCATATCAGCTCAAGTACTTGGCATTTTCTCTCTGTGTCTGGAGCCCCTGCTTCCTAAGCTGACTTTCTATGGCAGGGTTCAATTATTTTCAGGTTTTTGTTGCCCATGCTTCTGATGAGGCTTGGCAGCTGTAGCTGAGCATTATTCCATTTTCTCCTCTTGGTCTCCAGAGCTCATTCCATTACTCTCCTTATCTCTGGCTCATTTCTTGACAGAAAGTATCTTGCCTTTTCCACATCAAGAACCTCTAAGGTATCTCAGTGGATCCCCTGCCAGCATGTATATTCTGAAAGGCTCTGTTCCAAGGAACCATATGTTTGCACGTATGGTAAGAGATGTCTTTAAATCAAGGTGAATGTTAGGAAATCTCACCAACCCAAACAAAATCCTGCATCCCTCAGCTTGCCTCCCACCCCACATAAGTAGAGACCAGGCACAATGTAAAAATATGAGAAAGATGCTTGCAGGGAAGATGGAAAGAAAGTACCAGAACAGGCAGGTGTTCTATTCATGCAGATGAGTTAGAGGCTTAGTAGGGGAAAACTATCAATCATCAGGCAAATAGATCAAGCTCTGTCTTTTTCAGAGTCTAGGATATTAGGTGGTAACTTCTAAACATCTAGATAATGGTATAAATGTTGAAACATGTCCATAGATGCTCTCCCAAATGGTTCAAATGATTAAGAAAGGGTAAGCTTGCATTTACACAGTGCTCTTTCCAATCATTTTTAATCTATGGAAGGATTATTTATAATCTAAAACTTTGAAAGATAAAACCTTACACAGATAAATAATACAGAGAGAATCAGAGGCAAATCATATCGTCCTAAAAAGATTAAAAAATGTCATCATCTCGAGAGTCTGAAAGTTGTACTTAGAAAAACCCAGTGGAAAGAAAGTAATCTCTGGGTACTGGGTAAGCCAGTCATGTGTCCAGGAATTCAGGCTACCATGCTCAAAGCTGTTACCACATAATCTGGGCACACTGTGTGTGCATGTGGGTATGCACATACACAGCATGTGTGTAGAGGTCAAAGGACAAAGTAGGGTGTCTGCCCTCGAGTGCTTTCTACCTTTTGATTGTGACCGAGATTCTCAGTGGTTGGAACTTATGACAGAAGGGGCAAACTGACTCCCTATCTCACATTACACACTTAAAAAAATTGTGCCAAGGAAGAAAAGACAATTAATCCCCAAGCCAATAAAATTCAATTAACCAAACAACACAGGAGGTTTCTCTGACAACCTCTTCTATCTGAGGGAGTCATGGCTGGTGTCTTTTTAGTAGAAACAATGCTCAATTCTATTCTGTCAGTCTCAACTAAGTTTCATTGTAGTTGACACATTTACACATTTGTACAGCTAAATTCTTAATCTAATTGTATCTGTATATCTGTCAATCAATGGTTTCCTCTGCACATAAACATTTAGCTATGCATCAGCTAGCTCAGCATCACAAAGACACGAGGAGGATGTGAGGTGA